GTACAATCCATAATCAACGGATCGTACGATTCATAATCAACCGGTGATATAAAAAATAGAACTTTTGTTATTTTAATAGTATTTATGATTTGTTAGCTGTAATTTTTTAACTTTAGCTCAGTTAAAATTGCAATTCAAAATTTTATATTAGCCCAATATGGCCAGAAAATATACTATTCATAGCTCTGCGGTAAGTGAAAGTTGTGTGTTGCGCGCACCAGATTTTTACATATGTGGTTTGATTAAAATTTGTAGTTAAAAATGTTTTTACTTTATTTGAAATATAGATTTACGATGTTGATTTAAATTACAACCTAAATGGAGAGTTAAAAAAGTTCAGTAATATTTTAGAAAAAGCTTTCATTTTTCTCAAACACAGTAATTATATATTGAAAAACTATCAAAATATTATCATAGAACCATTCCATAAATATTTTTACAGCCTAACTTCAATATAACACCCGTCTGTTCCAGATTTTAATTAAAATTTATATCGAATGAACATAGAATGAAGAAATACTAATTTTAATCAATTAGTTTCAGATGTATGATTCGCGATTTTCAAGAAATTTGTACTTCGGTAACTAATTTCAGTTGGATCCAGGATTGCAACTATTTAGACATTTCTAATAATAGAAGGAAACACTTTTGGTGATATAAGTTGGAAAAGTTTTAGACCAATGTCGGAGAGTTCTTGCTATAGCGCCTCAGGAGCCTAAAAAAAATGATAAATTTTTAGCATTTGTTTATATTACTTTTTTCTGCTTTTGTTCTGCATCTAGGCTTCTCTGGGTTTGTCTTGGTATGTCTTAAGAAATTGTAATAAATGAATTAAAGTTTATACTAAATTACGAAACTTTCCAGTAAAATTGAACAAATAAATATATCATTAAAAAAAATTCTGATTCCTTTATTCAGATCAGCGTCTTTTAAGCTATTAAATACGAATTCCTATTGAAATTCGTGTTTACTGGAAGATTTTGTGATTTAGTGTGTGTAAACCTTAATTAATTTATTACAATTTCTTATATTAAACACACACAAAAAAAAACCTACCTACAAATTTGAACACATACTGAGACAAACCTAAAGAATCCTAGAATTCCATACAGAGTAAAAGCAGAAAACAGTAATATAAAGAAATTATAAAAATTTATCTTTTTTTTTGGCTTTAAAGACGCTACAGCAATTCTGAAGATACCTATGAAAACTGTAGAGAAAGGTAAGGTAATTATTTCTGTTAATAATTATTATATTCAATATTATTCATTGCCTAAGAAAATATTTTCTGTTACAAAATAGTTTTTTGTTACTAGCTGATATGACCATTGCTCCGCTTTTAAAGTAAAATCTTGTTTATTTATTTGCTTATTCTGTCATTTCTTACAGGACCTTTATTAGAGAAATTAATATTAGTGAACATTTTGTAAAAACATGAAACACAGTATTTTAATCAAATGACTCATGTATATTTATTTTAATTTGTAGGTGATCAAATATAGACAGGACCTAGAGTGAATCCACTTATATACCTCTTTTTAAAAATCCTTAAGTTTGTTAATAGTCGAACCAATGATATTATTTTGTATACATGCGGGAGTTTAAGCTAATTTTATGGTTAGTGTGTTACGGCCGAAACTATTATTTTTCGCATTAAAACAATTATAAATGCCATCATATTTATTATATATTAATTATGTCTTATTTTTCCATCACGCCTCTGGAGCAGGGATCTGCTGCATTAAGAGTCACGTTAGGAGTGCCTTCACTGGGAAGCTTCACCAATCATACATTCACGCTAATCCCGGAGGGGATGTTCGCTAACGAACATCACATTTACAAAATATGCTAAAAGGCATTTGTAAAATAGTATTTTTCCATCATATTTTAGTTGCATTCTCTATAAGAGGCTTCGGTTGAGTTTTAGTTGTAAATTTTATATTCATACCAGACTGAAACGACAAAAAACAGCTCGACGTTTCCGATTATTTCAGCACTTACAAGACAAACGCTCTAAACTTCCAATTAATTACAAAAGACTCAGATACATGACTATAATAAGGCCTATTTGGACTTCCGGAGTTGAGCTATGGGGCTCCACTAAACCATCGAATTCCTCTCGTATCCAATCCTTACAATCCATAATCCTTCGTAAAATCCTCAATGCTTCCTATTTTGTTACAAATAAAACAATCCACAATGACCTTAATGTTTCTTATGTTTCAGATCTGGTCCAATCCAGATAACTATCCTTCCATAATAAACTTCAGAATCATCCCATCCCTCTCGTTTCTAACCTTGCTTCCTCTTCAATTCCTGATAACCCTCCGAGGCGTCTGAAAAGAAGATGGCCCCGTGATCTCCTAATGTAGACATATCATTACAGTGCTACCATTGGGTAGTTACTCAGCAAGTGTTTTCTCGTCATTATATTCATATGTTCAAATTTACTAAATGTATTTCTTTAATACAGTTGTAAATATCATTAAGATAGAATATAATAGAAAAATAACTTATTCTGGGACACAGTCCCTTGAGAATAACAAAATAAAACAAAATTAAAATATTACATCTGGCCAAAATAAAATCAATCGAAAAAAAGAAATAATGCAAAAAAAAATATAAGGTAAAAATTCTATATACAAAACAAACGAAACTATGTACAAAACAATTAATACTATGACAAGACACTTAAAGCTATTTGCACTTATAGACCAGTATACATTTTTAAGAAAATAATAAAGAATTAAAAAATAAAAATGTATCATATTCTCTATTAAAATCAGCTCGAATGGTTTGGAACTATTTGACTGTTTTTGGGATAGGAATTGGAATAGGAGGGTTTTGAATGTAGATATGGATGGGGAATGTCGAATTTTGATAGGGAGTGAATTCCATAAATTGACAGAGCGAACAATAAAGGAATTTTGGAATGAGGCAGATCTGTGAGAAGGCATGTAAAGGTTAGATGGTCGAGATCTTGTGGACAGGGAATGGACTGAGGATTTGAACTGGAGAAGGTTATAGGCGTAAGAAGGACGATGGTTGTTGATGATTTGGTAGAGGACCGTACCTAGGAAATATTGTCTTCGGAAGGAGGAGAAAAGCCACTTTAACTCAGCGTAGTGGTGAGAAACATGGGAGTATCTTGGGGCCCCGATCACAAATCTTACACAGCTGTTCTAGTTATATAATAATAAAAAAAAAATTATATTTGAGGGGTCCCGGAAAATATCCTAGAGCTGCGAGAATATTATCCCTGTTGGTTTCTCTCCACGGCTCTGTCAATTCGGCAGACTTGTATCCTTGCTATTTTTTCTATTGAGAGAGTGTGATACTATCTACACTATTTTCACCCCTAACTGACACTAAACCAAGTTTTAAGATCCTTAGTTCTGGTTTCTTTTGGTATGAATCTACTTTTTCCTTACAATAACCATTGTCCTTGTGACAGAATATTGTATTACTCAATAAAATACAATAAAAAAATTTCTATTTTCTGTAGCCTCTGGAATTTCTTTTTCTCGAATGAAGTAAAGAAAATAGTCGTGTGATATAAGTGAGTAGTTACTTAATAAATCATGTTTTAATAATTATTGTATCATAATTAATACTTCAACTATAAATTACTCAATACTCAAATCACTCGATAAACAATTTCAATTAAGATTTGACATTGGCATTGACATTGGATTGAGCTATTTACATTTCTGCAACCTCTCATTTAGGGAATGCAATTTTTAGGAATGTTAAGATATGGATTTTTATGAGAGGGTCTTATTCATAGGTTTAAGCTTCTTTGACCGAAATAAGGGTTCTCCAAACATTTTGGCCCACGGGGCACATTGTGATCTCCACTAAGTCCTACGGGTCATGGCTTCTGATGAAATAAAAAGAACCTTGTTCTATAAATGGCAATTCAGTTGTGAAATGAGCTTTCTAAGACAAACAACTCATATAATAAATGTTTTAGTAACATAGTTCTGAGTGATTGACTAAATTTCATGTTTTTTAATAGTTTTTAAAATTTTAACATGTAATAAAAAAATGTTTGTGTAACTTTTGGATGCGGGCCTTTTAGTTTGGTTTCTAGTTTGGATACCTCTGACCTATACTTCAACGTTTTAACATTTTTTTTTTCTAATAATAATAATAATTGAAATATTAGACAAAGGACTCAGTATAACTATTAAGGTTTCATTTATAATAATACCGCTATAAATGCTCGCTCTGTTAATTTTTGGAATTCCCTTCCTATCAAAATTCGGCATTCTTCGTACCTATCTACATTCAAAACCCTCCTTTAACGGAAACACAGAGTTTACTGCTAAGAAGATTGTAATATATTTTTTATTTTTTCTAAAAGTGTATATTTATATTTTACCATTGTACATAGTTTTAAGAGTTTTGTATATAGATTTTTTTATTTTATTTTGTATATAGTTTGTATAACTAATATTTTCTTTACTGATTTATATTTATTTTTACTTTTGTTTTTATTTGGTCAGATTTAACATTTTAATTTTGTACTTTTTTGTTATTCTTAAGGAACTTCGTCCCAGAATAAAATTATTTTCTATTCTATTCTATTCTAAATGTAAGTTGATTGTGTGAAAGTTTTTATTTAGTCAAACGATTATTTTTAGATTCGGTATATTCATAAATCAATTCGGCTGAGACTGATTAGCCGCCGCCGATTTATAAAGATGTCGGAAATTAAATTGACAGCTTTCCTCTTGTTATTTTTTCTCAATCCGAGCGCCCTTGGCAGGGGGATTTAAGTTGGAGGCGCAATTTCCGGGGGACCCGCTCCCGGAGCAGGATAACGACTTTGACCGAGTGATTGCCAGCTCTACCACTGGCTGCTCGTGGAACTATCGGCCAGTTGTGACGTAGTGGGACCTCATTGGCCAAGTTCTCTATTGATCTGTTCGGTGGAGGGGAGACAGCCGTGGTGGGGGAAGTCTCTGCAGGGGTTACAGACGAGGGACATCCCAGTAGTGAGAACTGGGCCGGTGATGTGGTCTGCCGGTGCTAACAGCTCCCGTGTCGTCGGCGACGGCTGCTGAGACATCATCATCACCCCTCTAGTACGAGGTGTTGAGTTATGACATGCTGCGAGATCTGCGAAGAGCCATCCCCTTCGCCTACAGCGCTCTTGGAGGATGACGACGATTGCCTCAAGGAGAGGCGGTGGTGGTGCTTCCTACTATCGTCTGTCTTCACCTTCCTCGCTGGCCTCCTCATCGTCCTCCTCTGGCGGGTCTTCGCCTTCCTCTTCTGCAGAAAGGAGCCGGACCTCGCTCCCAATGACCCCAAGCAGAAGGAGCAGAAGGCCGCCCGGCAGGGGAAGCAGGAGTTCGAGGGGACGTTTATGACAGAGGCGAAAGACTGGGCCGGAGAGCTCATTTCGGGCCAAACCACGACCGGCAGGATTCTGGTGAGTACCTTCTGATATGACCTGTCTTTGATAACCTGAATGCTAACTTAGCCTTATTAACACATCGAGATCGATACTCGTATCATCTCATGTATGTTCGTGTTTTTTTTTTAAATTTCGACAGTAGAATAGGTTAATGAAAAAAATGTGTCAAAAATTTTATTGCATTAAAAGCTTATATATTAGAAGTAAATCTAAAATACTTTTAACTATGTTTACATAACTTTACACTTCGAATTAGGTTGTCAAAATCCACTGTAATTGTATTTTTTTGCATTCGGTGTCTATTAGATATTCAAGTATCCCCTAAAAATAATATTTCAATAAGCAATTATTAATCTTGGATTAGACAAAAATCGTTTAATACGAAAAATGGAATTTAAACAGTTCTAGGTCTCTTTTATATCACCAAACTAACCATAATTCAGTATATGATGTATATATGTTTTATTTTTGCTAATTTTAGTTTCTTGTTATTATAAATTAGAACACAAAAGTATGTTTAATATTAAGTTAACGTTTCAGTGTTGTTATTTCTGATAAGATTTGTTTTGTTTTTTAATGCAAAGAAAAATTGAAAATTGGTTATTGTATTAGGTATCATTATACTAAACTTTATAGATTTATTATTTATTATTTATTGATCATTTCTCATTTCTTAATATGAACACATCGTTTCATCCTAAGCTCTCGGACACGCGCACACGCACTTCTATTTGTATATGTATTTACATAATCGTTTATTGAGTCTTATGTATATAAATGTACTATAGATATTTACATACACATATGCATGTATTCATAAAATACAGTACTCGCTATTAAACAAGTTGTTTATTATCGACTGCTGTACTTTATACTAATAATTTTTCATAAAAGCTAATCTAAAAGAAATTATATATATATATATATATATATATATATATATACATATATCTATATATATATATATATATATATATATATATATATATACATATATCGTTTATGATCAATAGTAAATCCATTAATGAGTAATTAGAAACAGCTGATTTATTCTATTTTTAATCTAAATAGTATTAATTGTAAAATCAATTGCCTTGCAAGAAAACACGAATGTGTCAAGTAGTTATAAAGGTATTATATTATGTAAATAAATGCGAAAATAAATTAAAAATATTGCGCTACAGTTTATTTTATTTTTATTTACTTTAGAATTTTATATGAATAAAATTAAAATAAAAAATTACATGAAAATCTTTATACTTTAATATTTTTTTATTATTGCTAGGAAATTGCTGTAGCTGGATTTAAAAAAAATAAATATTATATTAATTTTGATGATGTTTTGATTTAAAGCTTATAATTTAAAATATTAAAAATGATTGGATTGAATTCAAATTCAAATGAATGATTTTTCTAACGATTTAAACCAATAATCAATATTGTAGATAATTTTAGTTTCATATAAAAGTCAAGGTGATTGTTACTATAAATAATAACATTATTTTCAAAGAGCATCTGTAAGTACTGACCTATGATCGTAAAATCAGTTCTGAACTATGGAATTCTGGGTAAAAATATTTTTTATTTTAAATGCTTTTTTATTTTAAATGCATCGAAAAGAAATATAAATTTGTATTTATGTTGGAAGTCTGCATTAAGTTTAATTATGTATGCATATTGGTATATGTTGGTTGATTTTCTTTCCAGATATTAAACATAAATTGAAATTCTTAACTTATTACTTCTTACACAAATATAAATGGTCGAACATTTTAGGGATTTCACTTAATTTTAGGAGTAAAAGAAAAATTAAATTAAATAATCTTATTTTCATATTATTTTGTATGAAAGAATCAAAGTATACAGGGTAATTTTTTTAATCTTTCTGGTGGCCGTATTATTTATTAAGTATTACTTAAGTAGCTGGTTCTAAAGACCGCAGAATACACCGAGAATTCTATGCAAAAAAAAAAAAAATGTTAAGTAATGTCTAATAACAGAATATAAATGCTGGAAGGAATTATTTCAACTAATCGATCATAATAAATTAAATACTACAAAATAGAACTTGCTTTAACTTGTCTTAAGGCAAAGAAATAAAATAGAAAAAAAGAAACAAATTAAATACAGTTTCGTTCAGCTGTCACTATTTCGCTATTTCTAAAGGATCTTTAGCACTCTTGAGTTATGGGAGAACCATTTTGTTGAGTTATAAAATATATAATTTACTGAATATATCCTAACTTTAGTTGTTGTATTTTATTGTTTATTGAGATCAATTACAACCTTATTATGGTCTTCGGTTCATTCCTTCCTGAGATATTATTTAAGAAACATTTCCCTTCTTATTTTTCTTGAAACGAATCATAATTTCTTTCCTAAAAATATGAACTCAAACTGTTAGCTCATATCCATATTATCCGGGTCAGATTTAGTCCAATTTAATTCTGAAAAAAATAAATTGGGTAGCTCTATGTTTCAATGCGTCAGTTAGCGGGTTCGAATCCGGCTGTTGTAGGTAATTATTTATCCTGCCACCTCTGTCTCAAATCGACCCTGAGGTTGGAAGACACTGCGAGGGCACATCCAGCAACTATAAACTTGATGGTATTAATTAAATAATTAATTAATGAAAAAAATGATGGTCAAGCGTGATATATGTCAAATCACCTCCTTATATAACGTTTAATCATGAAACAGTATTTACATAAAAATTACTAAACCTAAGACTCTCCATGGGTTGTAGAGATCAGTTTTTTTTATTAAATAAGCGCCATTTGTTGGTTTCACTTTATGAAAAAATGTTGCATGCATGTTTCTTGCCGTCAAACAAATGCAACTGCAAAAATAAATTCCTGTAGTGATATTTAAGGAAATTCGAATATCAAAATAATAAATAATTCTTGTAGGAAAAAAAGGGTGTTCTAAAATCTATATTTATAATATAATATGATAGTTTTTCGTAGTAACGATACCTTTTACGGATCTCTGGAACGATGGATTTTGATAATTAAGAAATCAAACAAAAGGGTGTTAAATGGAGCAGTGACGAATCATCGTAAAATCTACCCGGCATTCTAGAGAAAAAAAGAGTTTTTTTTATTGATTAGACCCACGATATTTTGAAAATTTATTAAATTCCCTAAAAAAAAAAATAATAAAAAAAATAAAACATCGGACCATTATTAACGTAGATACAGACAGTCCACTAGATTTGTTATACACAATAATTTCTTCCTCTTCGAAGATACAGCATTTAAAAATAGGCTCTAGAAAAGTAATTCGTACAAATATTTTGATCTATGTTAAATGAAATATTGTATTCGACCGGGAAAAACACAATTAATTCCTTCCTCATATAATACATAACATCTACTTATTCTTATATTATTTTGCTATTAGTTCACTAAACAATATAATCTGCGAATTATTCGCACGGGCCAAATAGTTTTATTAATTTTAAATTCATTAGGAAATACTTATTAATGCTCATTACGTTCTCTGTTTGATTTTTATTAGGTTTAGAAGATTGAATAATCGATTGATCTTGATCTTTCATTGATAAATGAAAATGACCAAATAGGAAACATTGTGCCTAGTATCGAAAAATAAAAGATCTGGACCGCTAAATAAGTATTATTTAGATAACTAGTTATTGATGACTACTAGCGGATCCATGATTTAATAAGCTTTATATATATATATATATATATATATATATATATATATATATATATATATATATAAAGCAATAATTACTTATAACAATAAAAAAAACTAACTAATGTGATTCTTGAAGGCCTATTAAATATAATTGTATGAACAATAATACTTTAAGAGATAATTTTGAAATGAAAACTTCTTTAAGCATATTTTGCACTTTTTTAGTGGAGAGTGAATTAGATTGAGCTGTCAGATGTTCGATGTGTAACGTTCAGATAAACTCGGCTGGAGTCGACTAATTGAAATGTTATTGTAAATGGATTAAAATATCTCAAAACTCAAACATCGGACCTGCATATTGTTAATCAGAGAAATGTTCATAATTTTATCCTCTTTGCAATGAGCTATTATTCCAAATTGTATCTTAACGCGAAACCGTGTTAGAGAGACGAAAAACGAAAAAAAAAATGGGTTCGTAAACCAAATGATAACGATAAAATCAATGATAACATTGAAGATGAGGATAAAAATATCTCAGAAACTAAAAATCAGATCTGCATATTATGAGCGAGAGAAATGTTCAGCATTTCATCCTCTTTATAATGAACTATTATTTATAATTTATTTTTCATATTATTAATATCGCCTTTTTGATATGTTCATTTCTATTGTTGTAGTCTAAAACACATACTTTAGTTTTTTTTAAATATTTTTTTTCATAATACATGGTTATATTTTATCATTTTGGAAGGGAGGGGGGCTAGAGCCCGAAAGGCTTCTCTCACCGTAGATCCGCCTGTGCAACGATATTGCAAAATAGGACATGTGGGGGGAGGAAATATATGAAAATATTAATTATGATAATGTTTAGAAAAATGTGTCGGTTTGTTCTGTGCCTGTTATTATTTTTTTTTTAGACACCTACACCTTTTGTCTTATCCACACAAGTACCGTAACAGTATTCCGCTTACTCTGCAGAATTTGAAATGGTATTTTTTTTTTGTCTTATTTAACCACCAAAGATGTTCGATCAATCGGGAAATAAAATTAGACCAACGGCTCTCCCACAAAGATTCAATGAATCTTGTTCATTTATCCTATATTTACTAACACCGTTAAAGCTGATGCATATTAGTTTCCTAATTAATTTCAGTTTCTTTCCGTTTTTGGCTATATGCGGTTCGTTTTTTAAATACATAATTAAGAACAATTATAAATAAAAACATTCCGTACCTACAGGATAAATGTGGAGGAGTTTGGAGAGAGAGAGAGAGAGAAAGTTTTTGATTCGGTGACTTTGGTTCGAAATAGTGTTACCCAAATGCGAGACCGAGACGAGTCTTGGTCTTGCG